ACTTGTGACTTTTAATATTTATGATACCATGAAATCTCCTAGTGATGATAATTTTGCAATTTTTGTTGATTCTTTGAAGTTTGTTACATTTGATGAAATTGCTTCGAATGAAAAAGAAAGAAATAATAAATCATCTTTGAGTACTAATCTGCATGAAGGGACTGTTTCTTTGAATACTCATAATCATCGAATGTACTCAAAAAGACGATGGAAATTTAAAGAAATATCATAAGTCGAGCCAACGACGATAAACAAAGGCGCTGCTTGGGAGGCAACCTAAGGTGTGTTTGTTCCATTCTTTTTCTTTTATTCCTATTTCTCATTCAATAACCCTTTTTCTGTGCTTTTTTGTTCAACATTGGGGACAATGTTGATAATAAGTGTGGGGGAGGGAAATTAGTTTTATTATTTGTTTGCATATGTCAAAATTTTAAAAAATTTGCACAAATATTTTACTCGTATTTTATGCAAAATAAGTATTATTTTGAAAATTTTTTTTTTCCTTTCTTGGAATTCATAACATGATTGAATAAATAGTTTGACAAATTGTGACTAGTTTGTTAGCATTTCTTGTTTGATATGTAGTGGCTATATTAAGTAAGCAATAAACCTGTGAGTGTTTTGAGCCATTGACTGACACTTCGGTCTTATTTTTTTCTATTGTGTGATTTCTTCCATAATTTTGTTTCTCTAGAACTTGCCTTGATTCTCTTTTAAAGCTAATTAGACCATGCATGACTCAAGTGTGATTAAGGCCATTATTTGATTTTGAGCCTCACTAGCCAAATAACCGGTTTGTCCTGTGAATTATTTCTCCTTTGTTAACCCACTTTGAGCTTTACGGCCATTCTTTTCTTTATCTTGAACCACATTACAAGCCTTTTATATCTAAAAATAATGTCTTCACCCAGCTGAATAACTAGTGGAGCAAATTTTGGATTATTCTTGATGTGAGATTGTGAAGAATAAGTGTGGGGGAGATCACTTACTTTTGTTAATATGATTGAGAGTGAGGCGGGTTGTATCTTCATTGCCAATTTGTCGTTGGTCTTCTATGAAAAAGAAAACAAAGACAATTCATGATTCAAAAAAAAAGTATGGAAATTTGAAAGAATGAAATGAAAAAAATGGAGAATATATGTTCGAAAAAAAAAAAAAAGATGTTGCTGAAAATCTATGGGAAAAATGAGAAACAATCAGCAATTTTGAGTTGAAGTTATGTCCAAATAAATTATGCAAGGGAATATTGAGGAAGTCTTTATTTTCTGGAATGATAGTTGAAGTGTCAATGGGAAATGCTTTGAATGAAAAATTGAGGGTGTTGGATTAATTGTATTTATTTTGCTCCTCTAGTTTGAAAGCTTTTACTTAAGCTACTTTCCAAAAATGTTCTCTACCTTAACCCTAGCCCCATTACAACCTGTGAAAAGTCCTTATGATTTGTGTCATGCATGACTCTTGTAGTGGTAATTGAGAAGATATGCAAGCCTGTGGTAGAGCAATTTTATAGGAATGAACTTGAGTGAAATTTATACCCATCAAACACTTGAGTGATGAGTGACATTCCTGTGAGGGCTTACTTATTTAGTTTCCTCCATTTTTCAAACCGGGTGCTAACTTATTAATTGCAGGGTGCTTCAGATTGTTGTTCATGATATGTTATGAGTTTTGGGAATTTCGTTTTAATTTACTTCGCAAATAATATTTTTGCTTGGGGACAAGCAAACGTTTTAGTGTGGGGGAATTTGACGGGCATATTTTACACTCATATTTTAGGTACATCTTTATAATAATTTTGCATTAATTATTTAATATTATTTAATAATTTGTTCTTTTTGGAGTTTAACAATTAATGAACTAAATATTGTACTATATATATATATATATATATATATATATATATATATATATATATATATATATATATATATATAATAATTAATATATATATATATATATATTAATTATTATATATATTATATATATATATATATATATATATATATATATATATATATATATTATATAATATATAAGAATACATACTAATATATATATATATATATATATATATATATATATTATAAATGTAAGTTATGTTGTGGTCCAATCCATTGCAATTGAATTTATTAATCCTAACATTTTATCTCTTTCTTTCCTTTTGAATAGGTAAGCAGCACAACTAACAGAAGAAATCAGACATGCCACAAAAATAGGAGAATAAGTGGTAGAGGTTCATTAGGTTTAATTTAGAAAGTGTATAAATAGTATAAGTGTTTTAATGTAAAATGTTCATTCTTCTCCTCTCGAATATTCTTTAAGGTTGTTATTAATGTCCATTCGCGGTTAATTTCTAGTTGGTTTAGTGAATTGAAGCCCCGGAGTTCATAACGCTGTAAGGTTATTTATTTATTTTTATTATATAATTTTTATGCATTTGGGTATTAAATATTCTTCTAAGTTATTTGAATAGTTGTATCATTTAATTGCTGGGGTGGCCTACTAGTTATTTACTTGATATAATTATTTGCTATATTAGATAATGTTGTGCTACAAATTATTCTAATATTCAGTAGCAACTGAGGTTCATTATTGACGGCTTAGTGATAATTGGTCTCGGGTAGAATATTTTCCTAAATTAAATGCAACCGCTTGTGCTTGTGTTATTTAGTTTGTCGGTTTTCCTAGTTCCTATTGATGCTACTAAATTAAATCTATAGCGCTTGTCTTAGATTATTTAGTAGTTAGGGGTAATTAAACCGCTTGTGCTTTATTTACCTACAACTAAGGGAAAACAGAAATGAAATAATTTCACAACAAATATTCAATTGCATATTAATTACTTTATGAATCAATGATCAGCGTTAAATTCCGGTGGTGGATCTTTACTAACCAAGGTTTCTTATTATAAGTGTTTCGATATATTATTTTCATTGCTTTATTCGTTCAGTTAAATTACTTATTTATTTAAATTCTCTTTTAATTTATCTTTATTCTCGATATATTCCAAACCCCCCTACCTTTAATTTGAGCGTAAAAGTTAAACTAGTTACTCCTCGTGGGATCGACCCTTACTCCCGCTACTACGTTTGTAAGGTTCTAATTTGGGAGCCTACGACAGCTCACCAGAAGCCTGGGGACTTCTCAAAGGTATCATACTTGCAAAGATAATGGGAAGCAAACAAGTCCGCTTTGGATGCGACTCAAAATCTATCGTTGATGCAATTACTCAGGAGACGACCATATGCAACATTGTGGATAACATCTTGAGCGCATGTAGGCGGGAGCTTAGAGGTGTTGATTCATGGCATATCGCCTTTGTTCCCAGGGACCTCAACCATGTAGCAGATCTGCAGATTACTTGGCTAAGTTTCCAAATGGGCAAAGAGGCACCACCATCTTCAACCACCCCCTGATGGCCTACTACAAATATTAGAAGAGGATAAATTTGGTATCGTCCTAGTTTGGCGACAAATGGACGCTTTAAATATGTAATATTGGGTATTCCCCTTCCATTCTAATCCATTCTGATTGAAAAAAATTGGTATCAGAACCTAGGTATGAACTTTTGGGATATAATAAGTTGAGTTACAAGTGATATTAAAGTCTACGTTATGGAATTTTGAGAACCTAAGTTATGAACTTTTGGGATAAGGAAATAGGTTATGGAATTTTGAAAGACTAGGTTATAAATTTTTGGTATATAGGAAATGGAATTAACTAGGGATTTTGGTGTTTTGATGGAAGTATTGAACTTGATTGCTTGTGTATTCTTCTTAATGGTGGAGATTAATAATTACGTTCCTTGTTTGATTTCTAAGTGGTTATACTTCGGGAACGAAGCATTTTTTAAGGGGGTAGAGTGTAATACCCCAGTTATTTGAGTATATTTTGTTATAATATATTAATAATATTTTGATCGATATACAATTATTTAAATTATAACATCAAATATTTTATAGTGCATTTGAAGACATTGATTTAGATTGTTTGTGTTTGTTGATGTTATCATTGATTGAATTTGAGTAAGTAATTGCTCAAATTAATACCTAATGTGTAGATGTATGCATGCGGTGCTGTAACTTTAGAGATTTTATATATCATTGTTTAAGACTTTTCTAAATTGGGCAAATGTGCTCGTTCTCTAGCAACTTAGTTATAGTAATCAATTGCTATTCTAATTCATTTATATAGAGGATATATTTTTGTCTAGATATATAGCAATTTTGTCATTTTGAAAAAAAAAACATAATATCATCGATTATATTTACACATGATTGAAAACCTATTTGTAGATGACATTGGTAGTCACAACACAATCTTTTCCATCCTCGTCTAGAGCTAACAACTTCATGCCATTAGGATGGGTGACATGGGAGAAAGTCACGTACAATTATCCATGATTAAAGACCAATTTTTTAGCAATAATCCAACGTGAGTTAGTGTTTGGCCTTGGATTTTGTTGATAGTCATGACATATGCAAGCATCATCGAGAATTGTTTACGCGGGAATCTGAAGGGCAATCTCATGTTAGGAGTGAGAGACATTCGGGGGATAAGAACTTTGGTTCCTACATGTGTCCCATTAATTATTCTTACTTCGACAATGTGATCTGTCAATCTTGTGATGATGAGCCGCGTCCGGTAACAAAGTCCAAGAGAGTGGTCTATGTTCCGCAATAACATAATAGTTGCACCAACATTTAATGTTAATGAATGATTAGAAAGACTCGAAAATCTCAAACTATTAAAGAATTCAGGAGTGTGTACTTCTGATAGATTTTCATTGTCTGATTCTACCTTACACAAAGAGTCACAACTTAAATATGTTCGTTCTTTTGCCGTATTCTTGTCGCACATGTATTGATTAATTTGATCAACGACATCTAAAGTCGGCAAGAGGATCGCTCGGCCTTCTAGCTACGACTCATCAAGCATGCCATATCTCGAGTTTGAGAAGGTGCTTTCCACTATAGTTTCTATGAGATCGTGTCCACACTTCAACATCTAAAGTCGGCAAGAGGATCGCTCTGCAATCTATTTTGAAAACAATCAACCGTATGTCTATCTTCCTCTGAAGTTAGGGTCCGTAGTATCAAGTTCTTGGTGAACCTAAATTCCTTGCAATTTGTCCACATGTATGAAGAATTAATAGTTGCTCCGACAACTACTGGTCTTGTTACTTTCGGAATAACAAGTAGCACTTGTCTAAAATCGCCGCCCAAAACTATTGTCTTTCTACTAAAAGTCTTTTCAGCACTACCCGGTATGGCAAACCTCAATAGATCCCTCATGGTTTTGTCCAAAGCCTCAAAACAGTGTTTATGTGTCATCAGTGCTTCATCCCATATTATGAATTTGCTCCTTATTATAAGCTCAGCAAGGTCAATGCCTTGCGATATATTGCACGTGGAATCTTCGTTTAAAGAGCGCGGTATAGCAAATCTGGAATGCGCCGTCCTGCCTCCCGGCAAGAGCAAAGATGTTATTCCACTGGAAGCAACATTTTGAACAATATCACCGCGGCTCCTTATCTTTGACGATAACGTTCTCGACACGAACATCTTTCCTGTTCCTTCGTAACCGTACGTACAAAAAGAACAATCCACTTCCGTTGGAATCAATATCATTCATCACAGAGTCGTAAACATTCTTTTGCTCGTCAGTCAATTGTGTTACCAATGTTTCATGCTATGTCTTCAACAATTCTTTTTCATACGCCAACTCTTTAGCTATCAACATGTTTTCACTCAAACCCATGCTAGTTTCGTCTGGAATTGGCATTTCTAGAAAGTCCTTCAGGCTCTTCCCCCCAAAGATAGCAACTTTTCCAACTCCACCAGAGCAAACTGTTTTTTTATATGAACCCGATAACATCAACTCTTAAAAGGAAAAAAAAAAAAACAAAAAAATTAGATTATTTATAAATAATGAAAAGCAAATAACAAAGTCGAATAAATAGATTCGAGTAAACTAAATATCATTGATTCAATATTGAGTAGTGACGGAAAAAAAGGAATATGAATTTTAATATTGTTGTATTTTTAATATTAATGGGTTGCACAATATAATATTTGTTATAATTTATATAATTGTATATCAATTCAAATATTCTTAATTATAGTATTTACACTCCTGCTTTGCACGGAATTAATTTGTTATAATATTTTAAGAATATTTGAATCGATATACAATTATATAAATTATAACAACAAATATTATATTGTGCAATTGATGATATGTGTTGGATCAATTATATTTTTTGATGTTATCATTGCTTGAATTCAAGCAAATAATTGTCCAATTACCAATGTGATGCACATATAATTTTTTATATATTATATATTTAGATAATAAATTAAAGGTGAAATTATAAACAATTCTGATATTTGAAAATTTACATTTATGTGATTAGTGCAAAAGTATCACACAATTAATTGAATAATATATGATTCTTTTGTCTACAATTATCTTAAAAAATCGATATGTAATATGATTTATGTAATTATATTATTACTAAAATAAATAGGAGAAAAAATGATATATAATTTAATTGTAATTATTATAAAAATAAATCAAACGACTAGGTTGAGACAGTATGTTTTAACAGATACTACAATGTAATAGAGTCAGTAGCATTCAAAAAATAAAAATAAAAATTCAACGACCCATGTTTACTTGTAATTATACTAATATTCATGTAATTATTATCTTAATTAATATAATATTTATCTGTGCAATTAATTTCTTAATTAAACTCATTAATTTTAATATTTTTTTGAAATATAAGTTGTAATTTCATTAGAAATAAGCCACAATAATGTCAGGAGGGATTAATCCCAGTACATAGTAGTATGATGCTGGAAAGTTGTTGATGCTAAGGTATGCGCTAAATAATTGTTCGATCTAGGAATAAAATTAAAAGAACAAAAACCAAATGAAGTTGCAATTGGCCTGCAGCTATCAATAGCATAGCCAACGTACGAACGAACCATAGATGGTGGTGAAGTGAGATAATGCTGAAGTGTCAGACAATCCGTATATAGCTTTATAGATTGCTCCCCCCGATCCTTTAACCATGACAAAATCTCCTTGCATGCAATTGCCTCGGCCATGAGTGGTGAGAAACAATCACGGAGTGGTGTACTGAATGCTGTAATATATCCCCTGTTTGCATCGAGAAGGATTGCTCCCACCGTTGCCTTGCCCGTCTCATGGAGATAACCAGCGTCGATGTGGCAAATTCTCGGTTGTGGGAGGCCATCCGCGGCTGCTATGGTGGCGGACTGCCCATGCAGTAGAGGCGGTATTTTAATATATTAGTTGTTTTAATATTATATCGTGCAATCTATTTAATATTATACTCATTCTATCTTATACGAATTGGAGTAGTGACAGAATAATATTGTTGAATAGGAATATGAATTTTAATATTGTTGTATTGTATTACGAATTGGAATTTTAATGTAGATTGTAGTACGAATATGAAAGTAGGAAACAATATATTCTATTAGGAATTGTATTACACTATTTTACAATAGTATAGAACTATTTTGGGCGTGAAGTTAAAATGGAGGATTTTATTTTTATTAATAGTATAGATTATTTTAAAGTAAACTATTTTGCTTTATAAATATGGTTTTAAATAAATTATTTTTACTATATGGCCCATAATTATTTTATTTTATATTATGTAATCCAAAAATATTTTGATAATTATTATTAAATCTTGTGTGCGTGCGCTTGCCCGCGTGTGTAATTATTTGTTATGAAAAAAGAATAAGAATACTAGGACCCCCTTATTGTAGACTAATTAAATATTACATAGTAGCCTAATTATCTGCAAATCTTTTCAATTATTTAGCTTACAACTACCCCATTAATCATTATCCCTTGCCCAAATTTTGTCTACAACCTTTTCATTATTTGAAACCCATTTCCTCTTGTTTAATCTCCCAATCTCTCATTCATTCTCTCTCTGGATTTCCACTGCGTGTATATACAAAGGCTCTTATTGGGCATCTTCCAGCTCACACCATTATTCTTCCTTTATCACATATTTTCTTTGTTAGGATTGTAATAGTTGTGTTCTACTAGGACTCTCATTCTGTATTACTATATGACTATCGTTAGTATTTGGTTAATGTTATGTTAAACATTCCAATCTTCATATGGTATCAGTTGTATCCAGGTTCTCTCTCATGGCAGCCCTGGGCATTAATGATGGCGGCTCTGTTTGCGATTCTACGGAACAGACTGTCTCCGAGGTTTCCCCTACCCCCACTTTACCAAATAACAATTTATCCTCCACCCATCACTTCGTCTCCCTTAAGTTGACTGCGCGGAATTACTTGTTTTGGAGGACGCAAATGATTCCGCTTCTGGAAGGCCAAGGTTTGCTAGGGTATGTTGACGGCACAATACCTTATCCGGTTAAGTTAGCGCCGGTGGTGTCAACTGCAGATAGCGTCGGTCGGGCTGCCTGTGTCTTCTTCTCGACAGAAGTGGCGTCGTCAGGATCAAGCTATCCTATCTCTCCTTATCTCATCGTTGTCCGACGAGACCATGCACTTGGCGGTTGGCCGAACTTCTTCCCGGCAGCTGTGGACGGCGATCGAGCAATCTCTTAGGTCGACGACTAGGGCTCGTAGCTTTGCGTTTGCTTGGTGATTTGCAAGGGTTGCACCAGGGCGGTTCATCAATCTCTGACTACCTTAGACGCGCACAGATGTTGGTGGAGGACTTGGCTCTCGCCGACCGGCAGGTTACGTTAGACGATCAGAATCTCTATGTCTTTCGTGGTCTACGACCTGAGTTTCAACCTCTGGTTGCTTCATTGACACGAGGGGCTCCAGATACCTTGACGGAGTTGTCTGAGTTTTTGGTGTCGTAGGAGTTCATCTGCACTGAGGATGGCAGCGGTCTAGGTGCGCCGGCGGATTTGGCAACGAGTCGCGGTGGTCGTAGAGGCCGTTGAGGCGTTAATCAGTGACGTGGTAATGGCGGCTCGGGTGGTGGTCGTGGCTGACGGAACGGGGGGCGTGGTCGTGGGAGCTCTCGGTCCGGTCCTCATTTTCAGATTTGCAACGGACAACGGCACACTGCTCTTACGTGCTATCGCAGGTATTCCGAGACATCGGGTCCTTAGGCGAATAGGGCATACCCCACGGAGGATTCTAGTTTGGTGGGTTCACATCAGTGGTTTCTAGACACCGGTGCCACAAACCATGCTACTCCTGATGCCTCTGTGATGTCCTCCACCGTTAGTTATGATGGTCCTGACACTCTGCGAGTCGGCAATGGTTCAGGTTTGCCTATAGTTAGTGTTGGTTTAGCTTCAATAACTTCTTGTTCTAGGTCTTTTAAATTGCAACAATAAGTGAAGATTCAAGTGCCAAGTTTACTACAAGTTGAAAGATCGACAATCTTTGTGTTACAAAAATTATATCTCTACTTGGAGAAGTAGATAGAGGCAGATGTGATAGGGTCAAGAAGCAACCTTCTTCCTTGGGTCCCACCAACAATGTTGGCCACTTCTTGGGGTGTAGGTGCAACGTTGATCCATGCCTCTAAGGGGCTTGACCGCTCGGGTGGGCTTCACCCATTATCGCACCCTTTTCCCCCGACGGTGATGCCGATTGAGACACCATCCGCCTCTATCGGGGGAGGGGACAACCCTTACTAACCATCTCTTACTTTTCAGTTGAAGCGCTCTTATGAGCCTAGGGAATGTTCGCTTTAAAGACTCAACCATCCGTGTATATCTCGGCTTTGGTTGCGTAAAGGGGAATGGTAGAACGGGTATAAACTAGGAACATGCACTTTTTGTAGCGGTTTCCAAAGATAGCGCTAATGATGATTTTATCGGGAATGAGTCCATCATAAACCAGGAATGGAAGTACAGAACGGGGGTAAAAAAAAAATATTAATTTTATTGCTTGGGGGGCTAGGCCCAATAGAATGCGTACAAAGCCAAAGATACTAGCCCAACACGACAACCCAAATAATAAATAAATAACTTAAGCTATAGCCCGAGGAGCAAACCAAGATTACATTGTAGTTACAGGGAGTCGAACTCATTTGAACAGGTTGAAGTCACAGTCTAAAGACCATTAGACTAGAGGACTGATAATGCTCAGACCAAGATGCCCTAAAGGAGGCAAAACACCCCCCCCCCCCCCACCCTTTATAATGCACCTCAAGCTCACAGCACCATCAACATGTACGATGATCCAGAAGGATCTCCTCTACACCAACCACATGAACCGCGCCTGCCAACCCCACACACACGACCAAACACCACAGATGCAGGATAGGCGCCAATAACATGACATGGCATGCACCACCCTCGCCAGCCAACCGGGACCAGCGCCGACCCCCAACCGGGCCATGGGTTTCCACAGCCACGGCACTGGGGGACGCAGGCGCCGAGCTAAGCATGCACCAGTCGTGTGAGACCAACGCACCCGCCGGCGACAACACCCCCACCAACTCTTACCTCCTTACCCTCTTTTATATTGGGCTAACCCACCACATCCCTCAACCCACCTACTTTACCACTATA